TCTATTTTGATATTCTGAAACCTATAATATAACCTATTTTAGCGTTAAAGAAAGTGAAAAAGGAAATTTCGGAGATCAAAGTCAAAGTAGGAGTAAATTGTATCATTAGAATTAAACCTACTTTGCTAACTCAGCTCCTACTGCGTTGTAGGATTCAAGGTTTAACAGAGGGCCAAAATTTCGACTCGGAGACATCATTTGCGTCAGACGAAACTGTGCGCTTGAACAGAATTCTCAGCTGCATATTAACAACTCTGCTAATCATTGGCAAAGGTGCAAAATGCATCCCAGCGGTAGGCGGCGCCGAGGCAGGGCTCCGGCGCTCAGCTTTGTGATAACCGGGCGTTCTTCCGCGGCAACTGCAAAATCGTAATTCGCTACTCGGAGGGTTAAGCACGCGCGTTATTGCGCGTGCATTCCGCTCTCTAATCAGGAAGCGCGACAGAACTTCCGTCGAGATCAATCCAGCCTTTCCGCACGAACGGCCGCGCCAGAACGCTCGTGAACGGCGCGGCGTGATCTTGGAACTTCTCGTACGTACGTCCCACTCCACGGCCGTCGAGGAGTGTTAGAAACGGCAGTGGGAAACTATCCCGGATCGGTCGGGAACTTTCCGCGGAGGCGCAGCAACTATTCCGGGCGCAGCCGAGACGGATTCATACGCACCGAACTTGGTCAGGTTCGCCGCGCGTGCCATGCGAGTCGCTCTTCGTGCTCTCGAGAAACGCGATGTTCGCACGCCCGAGAGAAAGAGAACGAGAAAGACAGAGAGACAGGTCGAATGGTTAGACAGACCGAGAGAGAGAGAAAGGGTGAAAGGGGGCGGAAGGAGGTGAGGGAAAGAGAGCCCACTGGCTGAGTTCCGGACCGTCTGATGCCGGATTACATCAAACTGGCATAACACACATCCGCCTCGGCTAGCTGACTGGCGAACTTGCCGCTCTTGAGACTTCGCCCAGGGATTCTCCCCGCTCGTTGGAGAGGAAACCTGGCCGGGGTAATTGCATCTATCCGAGCACGCCGTCAGAGACGGCAGATTGCGGACTTGGCCAACTTTAGACCACGACGATGCGAGACCCGTTCGCTGTTTCTCCCTCGCGCCCCCTCCCCTCCGCTTCATCCCCTTCGTGGAAGATCACGCCGGCGTGTAATCAAGGTTAGCCGCGATTCTTATGCTAATTCGCCGCGAGATCAAGAAAGCCTCGTTAGTCACGCGAGCGATCGGTGATTGTGTGGGAACTGTCCGGGGGATCATCGAAGGGTGTCCAACCCTCTCTGACGTTCGTTAGCGGCGGAGCACGGGCGAACTTTGCGCGAGCGAGCCGCGCTGAGACAATCCAATTGCGCATTCCCGAGTGATCGATGGAAAAGAAATTGGCAGAAATTCACATTACCGCGTCGCGGCGGGTTTGCATTTTTGAAAAGACGACTCACAGATCGCCATGTTAACGTCGCGCATTGGCCGTCCACCCGAAACACCAGAACATGTTTCTCGGACAATCCCACTTGGAACAGTTAAGGGGGCTGAATCCTCCTTCAGTCCTGAGTCGCAGTCAGTCGAGTTAGGGGGTCAAACGACGGACGGTCGACGGCGATTGTGCGATCAATCGACCGTCTCGGTTCGCGGAAGGACAGTCTTTCCCCGGTTCCGGGGGTCTACCTTCTACTTCGCGGAAGACATTCCGATTTCCATAAGCGACGTCCGGCAGAGACGTTTAAACGACGCTAGACCAAACGCGGGTAATCCACCGTCAAAGCGCACGCGAGCAGACGATCCAATAAACGATCGACAGTGGAGCATCCCTTTGACGTGTGTTCATACATGGCTAGGCGAGTGCTCCTTTTGGGGAGACCGTCGCCGGCTGACGGGCGAACCGACTTGTCGTCCGACAAGTAAGGAACATACACAGTATACACGTGCACGCGCGCAAACGCACAGACGCTCACGCACACACGGTCATGCGCGCGTGCATCAAGGAGAACACACACACACACACACACACACACGTGTACACGGTTCCCGAGCAATGTGGTCGCAATTTATGAGCACTCCGCGTGCACCGGCGCACATCCACGATCGCGCGGGCAAGACGTCAACGTAGGTATATAGACGCGCGCGCGCACACGTACACGAACACACGCGCCGCGGGCTCGTTCCTCCTTGCCACCCCTCACGAACGTAGACTTTGTGGCGCGGGGTAGGAGCCTGCGGAGGGAAAATCCTTTGGCCAGCGAAGCTTGGATAATCGTGCTCCGAGCTATAGTCGCGCCTCTCCCCATCGCGGTAAGGGCGACGGGGTGGAGGAGGAGGAGAAGGAGGTGGTGGAGGAGGGTGGTTGCGGGTGGTGAATGCGGGGTGGTGGAAGAGGAGGAGGAGGAAGGAGTAGGGCGAAAGCTCGCTTTGCTGCAATCGCAGCCTGCCCATCCACGTGGAAATCATAGCTCGCTGCGGGAGCCATCGGGACTCGAAATTGTCCGGAAACGCTTGCCGGGCTGTTCTCGGCGGAGTCTTCTTTTCTCTCCCCCTTCAGTCGGAGAGGGCGGAAAGAGAGAGAAAGAGAGAGAGAGAGAGAGAGAGAGGGGGTGGGACGACTGCCTGCCGGCTGCCTCTTCGGGGATTTGGGCGTAAAGAGACCTCCCGGAAGATTGCCTGAGGATCTCTTTGTAATTCGATGGCGACATTCGAGAAGACGCGCCGCGTCGATCGGACGCAGATCGAAATCGAGGGCGCGTTTAAGGAAATGTTACGAGCGCCGGGGTAGGAGTTTGGAACTGCATAACTGTCGAGAGAATGATCATCGATATTGTTAAAGGAACGGCGTGTTATATCTTACTGATGCGACTAGACTTGGAAAATGTTGTGATGCGTGGCGACGGTGGAGGGGGTCTCAAGAAATAAAGTCAGAGAGAGAAAGAGAGAAAGAGAGAAGACCAACGCCAATTGAAAATATTGTTACGCGGATCTAACATTTGGCCGACTGATCCGCGACAGCGGATCATTAGTTTCAACGTTCACGCGAGCGATCAACTAATGTTTTCTTTTCAACGCCGTGTCTTGTTCGCGGTACAAAGCGAGCATGGTTCGCGCGATCGTAGCTGCAGGTAATCTTAAAAGTTGCGAGACCAAGTAAACACGTTCCCGGGCCGAATTTACGGCGCGAGATGGTCGAGGCATGAGGAAGACGTCTGCGGGACGTGTCCTGAAAAGCGCGAAGATTTATACACGTAGGTTCCCCGACGATCGACGAGAGCACGCGGCCGGGCAGCCGATCGAGAAATATCAAGTGCGCTGTAATAAATATCCTACTCCGCTCCCGCGCGTCGGAAATTTCCCACGGTACGTCTACCGGAGAAACCGAGAATGATCCCCTTAGGGGTCAGAGACCGGGCGCGAAAGTGCCATATCGCGGAATCTGCCGGCAAGCAGCAGCAGCAGCGGCGGCAGCAGCCGAGCTCGAGGTTTGAGGTTCGCAGACTCCAGTCGTACGGGGACGGTATTGGATGTCATCACGAGAGAGATTACGTGCGGCTTTGAAAGAGCTCCCTATCTCACTTCCACTTCCATTCACCCTTCTTCCTCCAGCCGCTATCCACCGCCGCCGTCAGCTACTCCTACACCACCCTCCTTCTACCGAGAGCCGTTCGCCCGATGTGCGCACCTTCGGCGCGTCCGTCCTCCCCTCTCTCCTCCCGTCTCTCTCTCTCTCTAACCACCCCCTGCGACCCTGTTCGGCAACTCAGCCAGGATAGAAGGAACCCCCTTCAGCAGTGGCACTGAAGGGAGCCAGCTCTCATATCCCATTTGCCCCTATTTTTCATAAGCGATATTAGAATCTATCACCGAGGCCCGGCCAGGCGCGCTCGCCTTTGCTCTTCGAGGGTGTGAAGGGGTGGGTGGTGGGTATACCGATAAAAAAGATAGAGAGACTCTCTCGATTATCGGCGGAGTGGGGTACCGCGATCGCTGACGATTATCGACCCTATTGAAGCAGCGACGTGAATGGATCCAGACTCGCGGGATCCGAACCCCCGCTATGCTATATATATATATATATATATATATATATATATATATATATATAT